GTAATAGCCCGGAGTTGGGAAGTTGGCGGTGTTTCACCCCCGTGCCTCAGAAAGCACGTAAAGCCGTCGGTCCTGCGCCTTAACTCTCACCGGTCGTGTCGAGCAGTCGTCCCACCGGAGTATGAGAGTGACAGGTATAGAGAGTGCACGTTGTGTCTGCGCGTATACTTTTGCACTATAATATCTCCTGCGCAGTTGGCTAGTCTCAATGAGATTGGCCGCCGTGGCCGGAATCGGTCAGGAGAACATCATCATTATTGTCTTCAATTAACTGTACTTTGTTGCATTAGCTTAAACAATTAATTGTACTTTATTTCGTGGTACTTTAAATTAATATTTTAACTTTTTTTAAATTACATATAAAATAATTTTGCTAAGCGTTGGCACTGTCTGTAACAAGTATGCGTTTGAGACGTCTCTAACCTTAGTCTCTCCCGTGATCATGATTGCTGTAAAGCATTCGAAACGACGGGAACCAAAAATCCAAATAAATCAATCCGAAAAGATAGTTTTATTTAAAAATATTCGCGTAAATCTAAGAAAGTATTAATTGTACTTTATGTTTTTACCAAAACTATCTATAATACGAGTATATTATGTACTCGTATATAAAAATCAATTGCCGTTCGTTATTCCCGCTAAAACTTAAAAACGGATGGACCAACTTGAATAATTCTTCTTTTGTTTTATTGGGGATGTGTCAAGGGTGGTTTAAGTATAATAAAATAGATTAAACCAATAAGAAGAGCTAAAAATTGAAAAGTTCAGAACCGTTAGTTTTGTATGGATATCACTACGAAGTACAACAATGCGTCTCAGTTTAAGTTGAAAAAAAATTATATATATATAATCTATCTATTCCATACTAACCATTAAAACATACCTAAGGATGAAGTGAATCACTTGAAATTATGTTTATAAATATTTATATATGAATTATATAAATAGGCAAAGACAGTTCATTGGTCAAATACCTTGTTGTCCTCTGTGTGTCAATTATTATTTTTATTCCGGAGCTTTTGATAAGATTTGGTGTTCTTAGTAAAAAAAGCTTTTAATTTAAATGTTTAGCAAGATTCAATAACTACTATGTTCGAATTTCGACCATTGGGCAAACACTAGATTGCCTAATATTATTAAAATCAGTGTAATTGTTATTTCAGCCATCTTAATATACTAATCATACGGCGTAGCATAATAATATGAATATAATACAGATAAAAGTAAAATATAATATGAATATATAAATGTATGTATTCAGCCCTCATTAACGTCCACGGCTGGTCATGGACCTCCCTTCAATACGAGGGAGATCAGATTATAGCTCATCACGCTGGACAAGTGTGGATTGGTGGACTTCACATGTCTTTCTAAAACTGGCTAGGTTCTCTCAGACATGCAGGTTTCCTCACGATGTTTTCCTTCAAAATATGAGAGATGCGAGACTCGGGATTTGAACCCGCTTGACTCGGTTTCGGTTTCACTGCCTATAAATATAAAACTACAATTGTATATATAAATATAAAACTGAATATATAAATATAAAACTATAATTGTACAACTTTGTGGACGTCTAAGATACTTCAGCTTGTAATTAAGTACAGGCAATCAGAACAAATTAACAGGACCACAAAGGGATGGTTGAGTCTGGAAAACCTTAACTTTGAAGAGAACTTTGCAAATAGACGAACCGCTTCTATATAAAGATTTACATGAAAGTAATGAATATAGAGCATTTTTATCTAAAGCACAATGGACAACTAGCTTGCGGCTAAATTGTACAACTTTGCACTATTTAACTTTGGAACTAAGTTGCTCTAGAAGTTTTCTCTATAAAAATCTCAACGCAGCCTGTATTGTCTTTTCACCTTAAGTGATATATATATATATATATATATATATATATATATATATATATATATATATATATATATTAGGAAGAATACTAATTTAATATGCAAGTTTGATTTGCATATCCCGAAAATCTAACATGCGCTCTCTCCCTTTAAGAACTCAGTAATCATCAGAACTGTGGTGATGAATGTAACTTTTTTTATTTATATTAATTTTGGCCAATTTAAAAAAAAAGTATAAGTTTTGGGTGAATGTTTACTTTGTGTATGGTTCACAATATCTTAGCCATTTTAGAAAGAGATAAGAATATACTCAACTAACAATTCATTTAATAAATATCTACATATATATAAAAGACAAAAGAGTTTTTTTCTCTTCTCGTCCACCATTTTTTAGTTTAGAAGCTTATGACGAGCTTCAGTGTTATCAATAACAAACTTTTGGAAACAGTTTTATCTATACTAATATTAAAAACAGACAGAGTTTGTTTGTTTGAATGTGTTAATCTCAGGAACTACTAATCCGATTTATTTTATTTTTTTTGCATTAGATAGCCCGTTAATCGAGAAAGGCTATTGGCTATCATATACTAAAGTCTATCTATTACATACTAACCGTTAAAACGTACCTAGGGACGAAACCGAGCAAAGCGAGAGCGAGACTCTAGTATATATAGATAGGTAATCACTGTTCATACATATATATTTTTCGACCACTGGGCAAATAATATTTTATAGGATTTTTTCTATAAATAGATAAATATATTTTGAAGTCTGTGCAGCTTTTTAGTTTAAAACTTATTGTTATATGAACTCTCATACACAATTAGTTGACTGACTAAAAGTCCATAAATCAGATACCTTTGAGCTACTAATCCCTTAACTTCTGTATCTCAGGAGTACAGCTGTTGTTTCGTAAAAGTTAGGAGAGCATGATTATCCACGCTCAGTTTCACATTTCAGACGTGATGAAACTTTGCGTCGAGTATAAAGATATTGAACTTCTGATCTAATTGACGAAATGACTTATAGTTATACTAGCGACTCACTCTCACTCCGCTCGGGTTCGTCCCTTTTTAAGTTTTAACGTTTAGTATAGATTTCTCAGATATGAGATATTTTCTCGCAGTAAAAAGTATCCTATAAGTTAACCCGGCTATCATCATATCAAATTTCATCGAAATCCCTACAGTGGTTTTTCCGCGATGCAGTCACAGACAGACAGATAGATAAAAATTCTAAAATCTATAGATTCTGCTTCTGTATCGATAATAATGTCTATTTCAATAAGATTTTCCAAAAAGTATTAAATTATAAACTCGGCTTAGTTACAGTTTTATTATATATGTAGGTAGGTATATATTATGAAATACAAAATTAATATACTTTATAATCATTATATATTCATAATGAAACGTTAAATAATTTAATTATTTAACGTTTTATTATGGAAAAGTAGTCTCTCTTCAATTACGAAAGCAGATTATTTTTAATATTTTATTGTTATTCAAAAATATCATCAAATAGCTCGAATTAACAGGTATTTTTTATGTAATAAAAGAGATAGCTCCCACATATAAAGTTGTTATGCAATCAAAAATTAAAATATAGGTTAAGAAATTGTAAAAAAATATTAAAAGTTTAATAGATTAAAAAAAATATTAACATATTTTTTAAGTTAAGAAACAAATTTTCCTACAAGATTACAGCTTGCCAACATTTATTTAAATTAACTAAACTTACAAGCTTTGTGGTTGAAAAAGCCACACGTTAGTTATTTTAAGAGTCGAATATTTTTAGCTCAAGTGTTTAAAGCTCGCATTAGAGCTTGAAAAATATTTTAAGTATGGCAACGTAATTTTATAACAAAGTACTGGGAAATTTTAACGTGATTTTCAAAACTGATTATACACGTTACTTTGCTTAATCAAAATGTATGGTGGCTTTGAAGTTCAACATAGAATGATACGGATATAGTGCAAAGGAAAATTAATTTAATCAAAAAAATATTCAATTTTTTTAAACTTTAAAAACGTGCCAAAATAGTTATTTTCAATTTTTATACCATCGCTTTATGAACTAACTAGCGATTCACCCTCGCTTTGCTCTGGTTCGTCTCTAGTTTGCTTCCGAATACAAATTTTCATCCCCATTTTCATCCCCTTAATGGATTATTTCCGGGATAAAAAGTATCCTATGTTCTTCCTAAGGTCTAAAGCTATCTTCTTAATCTCTATCTTCTTATATCTTTTTGCAAATTTTATTTAAATCGGTTCAGTAGATCCAGAGATTATCCCCTACAACCTCACCAACTCACAAACTTTATCTCTTTATAATATTAGTATATTATGAATTAATAATTAATTGTACAAATTCTGCGTGTACTCTTCATATTTAGTATTATCCGAAAACAATAAAGCATTCATTTTAAGTAGCTATTGTGAACTAAAAATATTTTAAGTATTCCTTTGATATATAAAACTTAATATATTTGGAAATTATTTTCTGGATAGAGAAAAGCGTATAGTAAATTTATATAATATGTTATATTTATATAAATAAGCCCATATATATCACATTTACAATTCTACTAGCGACTCACTCGCTCCGCTCGTGTTCGTCCCTAGTTACGTTTTAACGGTTAGTATAGATTCTCAGAGATGAGATATTTTCCGAAGTAAAATAACCATCTTACCAAATTTCATCAAAATCTGTCCAGTAGTTTTCTCGTGAGGCGTTCCCAGTTCAAAAACTATAGATTCGGCCTCTGTAACGAAAAAGGGACTATTTCAATAAAAAAATTTAGAAAAATATTAATTTACAGATTCGACTCAGTTAGAATTTTATCATACGTATAGATTTTCGGAACGGAAAAAAAACACATCCCATCCCCGAAATCCAAAACGCCACAATCCACATTCGGGATAACTAACTTAAACACGTAAATTGTTCGCTGCGAAACTTAATATTTGCCAATAGCTAACCCAATTTTATTTTCTAAATCCGTATATATTTTTTAAAACAGTTTTCCGAGGCAAAGTGCTAAAAACAACACACAGAGACTCTGGCGTTAGCGCTAAAAAGTATCAATTCTCAACAACTATATGCCATGTATACCAGCGAAATAAATTAAAACTCTTTGTGCAGGTGAACCTGCAATTAGGTCACGCTATGCTCGCCTCACGGTGCTAGTGCCGCCTGAACCACCAAAAATACTGCAAGGGAATTTCTACTCTACCACAGAGGACAGAATCATCAAATTGGAGTGCATATCTGTTGGTGGAAAACCACCAGCCGAGGTAAGTGATGAGTTAACTTTAAATTTGATAGGGGAATATAACCCTTATCTCTATTGGGTCAAGATAAATAATTATATAGTTTTTTACTAACCGTAATAAAATTTACTGTATATAATATACTATACGTTACTCACAGGTTCGATGCTCGTATGTGACTAATGTTTAATTTTAGTTGTAAATACTTGTAAATATATGTAATAGCAACTCATCCTCGCTTCCCTCTTCCCTAGTGAAAAACAAAAACAAATATAGATATTTCCGGGATAATTTTTTTTTTGTGTTATTCCAGATTATAATCTATCTCTGTGCCTTTCATTCATATCCGTTCTGACGTGATTGAGTAACAAATATCCATCCAAACTTTCTTATTTATAATATTAATGGGATATTTGTTTCATTTTTATTAGTACCCTAGGTGTTTTTCGATTATCAACAGATTATTATTAAGATAGCTTAGAAGGTTTCAAAAGATTTGTACTGATTTTTAGTGGCAGAAACATTATAAATTCTTTTAATTATGCCTATTCCTTATAATTTTCAAAAATATCTTGGGCAAAGCTCGTAAATTATTTAACTCTATCGAATAACTTTGCAAAATTAATTAATATATTATTAAAGACGATAGTTATCTAAGATTATTTAAAGCTTTCATTAAATAAGCTTATAATTTTATAATTTGTATTTTGCTGGATTAAAGTAGCTTAATTAATGAAACAATTGTGTGGCTACTCGTTAAATTTAAACAATGCAACATTTTGGGTGGACTGCAGTTCAAAGTCCGCAGTCCAAAAATGAATTATTAAACTGAGGTGACTTTGTTATTATGAAAATATATGAGAGGTGTAAATATGTTGTGGAATTTCATACTGTTATCATCAAAATAAACTTGAACAAAAATTGTATCCGTTCCCATTATTCATCCATAATTACTAATATTATAAATGTGAAAGTGTGTTTGTTCTTCTTTCCACTCGAAACAGAGTGACGGATTGGCATGATTTTTTGTGTGGCTGTCTGAGGGCTGGAGAGTGACTTTTTTACCTTTAGAGATTATCTCATTCCCACGGGAAAACACGTTATAATAAAACCCGCAACAACTCATCACACCTATGTACATATATTGTACTTGTATAATATATTATAGTCTATCTATTCCATGCTAACCTTTAAAGTGTATTTAGAGACGAACCCGAGCGAAATGAGTAATTCGCGAGTGAAGTCGCTAATACTAGCAACTCGCCCGATTTCTATTCAGCCCCTTATTTTAACATCCCACTGCTGGGCTCGGGCCTCTCTTCAATACGGGGGGGATCAGGCCATAGTCCACCACGCTGGACAACTGCGGGTTGGCGGACTGCACATGGCTTTCAAAAATTTGCTAGGTTCTCTCAGACATGCAGGTTTCCTCACGATGTTTTCGTTCACCGTAAGGCAAGTGGTAATCATATTAGAAATGATTCACACACGAAAATATCAGACGTGCGAGACCCCCGATTTGAACCCACTTTACTCGGTTTCCCAAGCGAGCGCGTTACCACTGCCTACCCGATTTACATACATAAAATATATATAAATGTGAAAGTAACTATCTTTTCATGTTTAACGTTTCTGAACGAATTCTGAGTCGAATATGTATATTAAATATTTTTTGGAAAATCTTATTGAAACAATTATTATTACATATATTATGTATATAAGATACAGAGGCCGTATCTATAGTTTTTAGAATATTTGTCTGTTTGTCTGAGAACGTATCACGAGAAAACCACTAGATAGATTTTGATGAAATTTGGTATGATGATAGTTGGTTATCCGGTTCAACATATAGAATACTTTTTACTGCGGGAAAATACCTCATCTCTAAAAAATCTATATTAGATGTTAAAAGTAACTTTTACTTAATAATTCTAAAGCTGCTTGAGTATATAGTGTTGATATCTTTATAGAACATCTTTATTTCAAAGAAGTGTGTTCGCTGTTAATTAATGTTTGTTAATTTTAACAGCATGGAGTAAATGACTTGCAAAAATTTTTGTTGTATAAATTAGCAAGAGTTTAAATACAAATGGCCCAACTTTTACCCTTTACCAACTTTTCTTGAGATTTATTAATTGTTATACCTTTTGTTTTCGCTCTACGACCTCTAATTTGTCTTTTTAAATATCATTCAAATGGTTTGTTTTGATTCGATACCTTTGCATTTTTGACCGACTTTCAAAAATAAAGGGTTTTAGTAGCTAGGTTTAATATGTTCTAATTTTTTTTGTGTATAGGTTATAAATCCAGAGGGACGGCGAAGAATCTTCCACCCCATTAGTTAATAAGTTATTATGTCTATATTGATTTACTAACAGATGTACCCTGAGAGCTTATCTTACTTAATAATATAAATGCTTCAGTGTTTGTTGGTCTGTTTTTATATATAGATTTCATTAATACAACGTTTAAAACCTTAACTAATTTCATATATTTTTTTATTTATAATTTGAATTTAAAATTTAATATAAGAGTATCCAATAGGTATAAGAGTTGTGGGAAAAATATTTTACTCCAATTCAATACATCAAACACAAAACATTTAATATTCCAGCCAATTTGAATTTTTCAATCTTCTTAACAAAAGTCTTCCAGATGATTTCATTTCATGTATATATTTTTATCACTCAAAACAACTTCTAGGTTTTATATTTATTGCGATCCTCCTGAGATTGTGTTCGCAATTTACCTAAGCTGATGTAGGTGTCCAATTTACTCGTCTCGATAAGCTACATGTTTCATTTAGACGATTCAAATTGAGTGAATAGATATATATTCCTCGCGGAGTAGACACGATTAGAAGGAAAATTGAATATAATGTCGCAAAACAAGCCCCAAAGAGAATACAGCTTTTAGAGCTTAAAATATTTACAGCAAACAGTCCAGTGGTAGCGGATTTCTTTATTTTATTCAGTTGTTTAATAACAGACTAGGTTTTGGTTGCTAAATGAATTTTGATGAACTCAGAATTATGTAGGTTTTGTTTATATAGTTTTTTGATTAAATAAGAGTAAGCAGTGACTCTGATTAATATCCCGTCGGTCCCACAGGATACTTACCATCAATATTTATAGTTATAATGTTAAAGCTTGCGAAGTTTAATGCGAACGTTCAACCACTGTTTATTTCATTTGGGTAATGAGTTTGATTTTTTAAGTATTTTTTGACAAAACAATAATCTAAGTTAACACAGGTAGGGTAATACGCTGATAAAATGTAGCCTTGAGCGATATCCATCCCACAAATCATGCTCACTATAAAAAATCTATTTATTGCTGTCTGAAAGAAAGAAAAAGCAAAATTCCACTTACGCATTTATATAATTGGTGTATAAATACAATTTAAAAATTTCTTCTAAAACTGATGTCTATATTTAAATATTCCAAATTTTTGACTAATTTAAAAAAAAGAAGATAGATTAATACGGTTCGTCTTTGGTTGTATGTTTTTTTGTGTATACTATATTTTATCTTTACAAATTTTAAATCGATTTTTATATTTAATAATATTTTATTATATAATATTCACCCCCTTAAGGGATTATTTCTGGGATAAAAAGTATTCTATATCCTTCCCAGGATCTCAAACTATCTTCTTACCAAATTTCATCTAAATCGGTTCAGTAGATCCAGAGATTACCCTCGACAACGTCACAAACTCACAAACTCACAATCTCATAAACTCACAAACTTTACCTCTTTATAATATTAGTATTGACTAGTGATTTAACCTAGTTTTGCTTGGGTGTATCCATAGAATTGAATGGATAGAAAACACATAGAGGTCAAACATACGAAGAAAAATTATTTTTTTATTTTCTTCTCGGTCTTATGCAGAACAACTTACCAAATTTTCATCACAATCGGACCAATGGTTTAGGACAACATCTATAAAAATAAACAAACATGGAAAGAAACATTAATTTTTACATATATAATATGTAGATTGGAATATTTACATATAAAATATCATCTGATTATAATTATATTATGTATATTTTGCTACTTTAACTAATATTAGGTTATAATTAATATTGTTTTATTATAGATCACGTGGGTGGACAGTAATGCTGGTGTGTTGACGCAGGGTGTAACGTATACGGTCGAGCCTTTGAGTGATGGACAGAGATTTACTGCGAGGTACGTTATTTATCTTAATAATATTTTATATGCTAAGTTTGATTTTGATTTAGGTCTTAAGTTGTTTAAAACTTAATGCAAAAATTAATATATTCTTTAGTAAGTGGTTTTATAGCTTATGGAAATATAGAGCTTTTGAAATATTTTTGAACAAAATTAATTAGTCTTTAAAGTTTATAAAAAAAAGTTTATGTGGGCATGTAAGAAGTTATATTTCTTTGCATAGACACACATATAGAGCATTTAAATAAAAGCTTGTTTTTTATTTTATTTTATTTGTATTTTTTTAGCAAACATTTTCATCTGATATCCATATCATGAGGGTGCAGACTATATATACTACAGGGAGATTTAATGACTAACTTCATACTGTAGCGTAAACGTATCGCATCAATGTATCCATTTATTAAAAAAAAAACTATATTAATATACATACATACATATTGTCACGTAGTGGAGTGTGTAAAGTCTTTATATCAAAAATAATAATTTAAAATGGCACGTCTGAAGACTGCTTTATTCATTCTAAGACAATTGTCAACATATAACAATGACAAGAAATTATTATGATCGTAAGAAAACCGCATTTAAATTCATTTAGTTGCATTCATTCAATTTCAATAATGAAACACTAAACTTAAAATGCGTACATAAATGAAAGCTTTGAGCTTTGGACAGAGATTTACAACTAAATATAGAGGCGTAAGCACAACTGTTATTGTGAGTTGTGACGAACTTTAAATGTTACATAGAACATTGCTTTGGCTTATATTAATATTGAAATTGAATTTAGTTTGGAATCAGAGTTAGAGTTAGAAATAAACTTAATTATTTTAGTTATCATCTAAAATATGAGCTAAATGAATTATTCTTTGCTAATTATTTATTATAGATGAAACTATTTTTTGACACCCGATGCAAAAACGACGGGGTGTTATAAGTTTGACGTGCCTGTGTGTGTCTATCTGTGGCATCGTAGCTCCTGAACGGATAAGCCGATTTTGATTTTGTTTTTTTTTGTTTGAAAGGTGAATTAGTCGGGAGTGTTCTTAGCTATGCCTCATGAAAATTGGCCCAAGATGGCCGCCACCAAAAATGGCGAAATACATGTCGGAGATTTTTAAATTTTTTGATTTAATCCAGTTATATTTGCACAGGTGCTCAAAATTATCTTGCACATAAAGGCTATACATATAAAATCAAATTAATTTGATTTTAAAATGAGAACACATGAAATAATTATTTTATTTTAGAATGACAATTTGTTTTTTTTTTATTTAAGGTATATTTGTACCTAATACACATTTTTGTCTAGATCGAGAATCAAATTGGTGATTTCCATCCATTCCATCATTCCATCCATGCCATTTTTATTACTATTAACTTTCCTTTACTTCGCTCGGTATGGCCACCTTTTGGCAAATTTTATTAGGCACTAGTGACTCATTATACTTGGGTTCGTCCCAAGATGATTAAGCCGTTTCTGAAATTAGCGCGCAAAGATAAACAGACAAAAATTTTAAACATCATCGTCTTGATCTTGAGCCTCTATATTGCGATAATAAAGACCGTCAACAATAGTTTTTCTCAAATATCTTCCATATACAGACAGCGATCAGTTACACTTTCATTATATGTATAGATGTTAATACATATGAACATACATATAAACATAGATAAATAATAATATATTTTTTTGCCATAAGATGGATGGTAGAGTTCAAGCTTAAAGTATCGCAGGTTACAGGTCGCACTATAAAAAAGTATGCAGATATACGTACTTTTCATACGCAAATGTACCAATTCTAATTTATTTTCGACTTATAAATAAATTTCATTCGCAGGTCAATTATAAGAATGACTCCAAAACAGGAGCATCATAATCAAACATTCACATGCCAGGCGCAAAACACAGCAGACAGAGCGTATAGAGCTGCCAGCATTCAAATTGAGGTAAGTTATTAGCTTTTGTGCACATTGTACGTTGTGCACATCTTTATATCCAACATAATATGTTGGAATTTTGTAAAATATTCAAAATAGAAACATCTTTGAAATTACATATTTTTATTTTACTACATAGTATTTGATCGTGGGACCTATACCCTCTACTTCACAGTGACTTAAACTGAGAAAGCCTAGGTGTTAATCGGAGATTCCCTGATGTGTGATCTCCATGTCGTGGTGGGAAAACTCATTATCGTTCCGCAATCCAGGCATGAAGCTGAGAGACACACTGGCAGGTGGCACACTACGGTGGTCGTTGTGCCATGCGGGTTGCTCCTGGTACTTCTCTGATAGCAGAGTGGACTATGTTAGCAACACCATATTTTTTTTGGACAGCTTCAGCAGGCCAGCCTTTAGGCGTCGTAGTTGAGTGCGTAAATGATCTTGCGACACTCCAATAAGACTGAGGTTCCGTAAGATTTTAGTGGGTAATCGTTTTTTTTTGCCGGTGAGTCCCACATAACCTGTATGTATGTAGGTATATGCATAAATATATTTTCCAGCGTTTAAAAAAGTTTTAATCTAAGATACAAATTATATCTTTTCCGGATTTCAATTGTACGAGTAGCTTTGGTATGGAAAAGTGATAAACATACAAAATATTAGTAATATATATATCATAATATACATACATATATTTTACTAGAAGATTAATATAAAATAGGCAGTTACTGGGCAGGTAATTGTAGGTTTTAAACCATTTTTTGAGTCTACATAAGCTTCCAAAATCGTAAACATTGTCTGTGATAAATGTAATAGACAAAAAAGCTCCTTCTTCTAGGAAAAAATTAAAGCTCATTTAGGACCGTTGTTAACTCGCCTGAAGATTTACCGTTAATCATTAAAACCAATTATCTTCCTTTTGTTTATTATCGCTGTCCAATTAAAACTTACTTTCACGCTGTGTACAGATTTTAATACAATCATTAATTTTATCGTTGAAAGGGTACATTAACTGCTTAGTAGTTCTTATGGAAAACAGTTCAGCCTATATAACGGTTAGGGAGAGTTTTCTCAGTGTTTCTATAGTTCGATATATAATTTTGCCTATTTTTTTTAATATAAAGATGTACAATAATTAAATGGCCTCACTAAAAGGCCTCGTAGTAAGCAGTAACCTTTACTTGCTATATTTGGCATAAATGTACTCTTGCCTGGGGTATAATTCGCGAATTGTCCTTTAAGATGAACTGCATGGGGGCTATCACGCTAACCCTCAAATGTTTATGGGGATAGAGAGGGCCTAGCAGGGTATATAGAAGAATTACAAATATGTGTATAGGACATGAACGTGATTATTTTTTTCAATTAATTGGCAATGAATTTTATGTTACTAAAAAAAAACGTCATTTTTAATATATATTTTTTATACTTTACAATTCTCTAATATTCTACATCGTAATAACATTGTTTAAAGAAAGTTGAACTAGATCGTACAAAATAGGCCTAAACAAACAGCTTTCATTGTATTAAAATAGTTATTATAAAACTTTCTCTTTACTTCGTTAGCATTTTGTTAAACGGCTATAAATATTCAGGTCTAAAATATTTCAAGGCTAGCTAGCTCGAAAATTTATCGTTTATCATTTAAACTAATTATGTTGCTTTTGTTTAGTTCTGTTCAACTAACGTTCTGGAGATATTATAGATCATTTATCTATTTATAATTTCATTTTAGATAGTTTCCTTAAGCACTATTAATTTTGTCTGTAAGAAAATTTTGTGTCTTAGCTATATTTCTAATGTAATGGATACTAAAATTATACCAGTAAAGATTTTTGAAACCCAGTAGCTACGAGATATCTAAGTGATACGTCTGAAAGAGGAGAGTATTTTGATCATTTTTTTTTCTTACGCGATATTTGCTAACTAATAATATTCATAAATTTTTATTAATAATAATAATTAAGAATTATTATTAATAATAATTCATAAGCAGTGGTATCCCAGTAGTAACACGCTCGCTTGGGAAACCGAGCGAAGCGGGTTCATATCCCGGGTCTCGAAGCTCTGATATTTTCATGTGCGAATCCTTTCTAACATGATTACCACTTGTCTTACGTTGAAGGAAAACATCGTGTGGAAACCTAAATGTCTGAGAAAACCTAGCAAGCTTTCGAAAGACATGTGCAGTCCGCCAATCCACACTTGGCCAGCGTGGCGGACTATGGCCCGATCCCCCTCGCATTGAAGGGAGGCACGTGCTCAGCAGTGGGACATTACAAAGTGCTGTATACAATAATTTTCAAGAAAATATTCAATTCCTAAGAGTAAAATAATTATATTTAAAGTGACTTTCGAATCAGCTTACCTTTTTAGCTTAATCTAATTAATTATTAATTATGAGGTGAAATTTTTCAGACTATTTATCTATCAAGTTCAACACTTTCATATCGTTTTTTTTAAAGCTGAAGTATAAAAGCAATTTAATCTATACACTCAGTAAATACAGCAACGTATTAATCTTAAAAATGATGTTTGATTTCCGGTTTTTCATCAAAGAAGTTTTTATAATTTGTTTTTACATCTAAATCTATGTTTGAAGAATGATTAGAATTTTATAACTTTTATATTTTTACGTATATTAATTCAAAGTACGATATTAAACAGTATTAAAAATCGCGGTTAATAAAATAAATCAAATACCCTATTTTAAAATTTCCATCTCTAAATTGACATACGTTATGGCATATATTTTTGCAGCGATCTCAATCTACATAATCTCAAACAGAGTTAAAAGTAGAAATGGCATCCAAAACACGCATTCCACAATTTATTGTTTTTATGCAAATAATATATACCTATCCTATAAATATTTGCATTGTATTCTTAAATAGCAATTAATCCCTCCCAATACAAACTTTTATCCCCATTTTCACCCCCTTTAGGGATGATTACTGGGATAAAAGTATCCTATATCCTTTCCAGGGTCTCAAACTATCTTTTTACCAATCTTCATCTAAATCAGTTCAGTAGATCCAGAGATAACCCCCTACAACGTCACAAACTCACAAACTTACCTCTTTATAATATTGGTAGATATATTTGCATTACTAGTTTTTAATCGTAGAAACTAATGCTAGAGAGTATTTTTGTAAGTATTTTAACCAATTTCAAAAAGCAGGAAGTACTCAATTTGATTTAGGTATCCCCCGTACCTTAGAAGGCACGTTAAGCCCACTCCGCCTGTTCTCCATCGGTCGTGTCGAATTATCGTCGCATCGGAGTTTGGGAATGAAAGAAAGAGAGATAGATGATTGAGAACACTGATATTATGTCCATATAAAAATATCCACCCGTGATGATGAAGCTTTAATGTAAACTTTTTTTAAACTAAAAAGTTAAAAAAAAAGTAAATTATATTACGTAATATTAATGTTCATAAATGTTTTGTATTTACTATACATACTCGTACATATAATAAAATTTTGAGTCGAATCTGTTCATAAATATTTTTTTAATCTTATTGAAATAGTAGTTATTATCGATACTCCTTTGTATCGAAATTTATCGTTTTTAGATTTTTTGTCTGTCTGTCTGTTTTATCAAAATCTGTCATTTTGATGAATATCGGTTTGATGATAGGTTATCCGGGTCAACATATCGGATACTTTTTACTGCGGGAAAATATCTCATTTCTGAGAAATCTATACTAAACGTTAAAACGTACCTAGGGACGAACCCAAGCGGAGCGAGGGTGAGTCGCTAGCCTAATATAATATTACAAAGTATCATATCATCTGTACAGATTTAACCATATATCACCTAAATCTAATGCTAAATGTCTTTTAGCATTAGCACAAGTTCGTTAAATAGATTCATGCTATAATATCCGTGAGCTTAAAGCTTAGCCACGTATTGACACGTCTAGTGTACATTAAACCTAGTAATATAGATAATCTTGACGTAATAACCAAGTTAGTATTGGAATTAATCTTTGTTGTAATGTATGTACATATGACTTTTAGCTGACACTGAATATTTTGGTGGAGGTAACTAGTTTGATACCTAATGAGGCAAAATATATTTTACTGAAGCTATAATCAAAGTTTAGTTTAAAAAAAGGAAATTGTTCTTGGTTATAGAAGAACATAGAAGAGTTTTACATTATATAACTTTTTTTTAATACTTTAAAAAAGTTAATCAAATGAATCATTTTTCATTTGAAATGATAGATATGGTATAATATTTTAAAAAAATATAACAAAGTGTATGATATTTTTAGTTTTTCTTATTCTATGCACACTGTACATGATAGGAAAGCGAATAGTGAGAGAAAAATATAAAAATCGATGTTTACCGCGTATTTCATATTTTCATTGACAGTCTTTGGACGTTTCCGTAACTTTAAAATAACTGATTTGCATATAAAATGTATGATAAGCTTATTATAATATAAAAATAAATGTTAAGTATTAAAATCGTCAGCTAATTAATTTTTAATTTCTACTTTTTGCACGTGGCTCCACTCGTACAGTAAGCGAGACAAAAGAAGTAACTAGCTGTTCCCATGATGCATTTTATTTCTTTGCCTATTCAAAATTGACAAACAGTTAGATTGTAGGAGAAAGTGTTCATTCAGTCCTTGATGCAGGTTTCCCCACGATGTTTTCCTTCACCATTAAGACAAGTGGTAATCATGTTAAAAATGATTCGAACGTGTATATCAGAGGTCAGAGACCCGGGATTTGAACCCGCTTCACTCGATTTACAAATTTAAATTTGGCGTAAATATAATAAATATATAGGTTTGCACCAAACCTTCACCAGCCATCCTTTTCATTACTGTTATTGGCATGTTACGTTGTTCCTTATGGCATCGTTAGTGAATTGTTGTGTGCCTGCAAATTGTTCTATTTTACAATTGACTTAGCAATAAATTGATTTTATATGGTTATAAAATATTGAAATACTTTGATAAATTTGAAAAATTATAATAATAGTAC